GGGGGGAGGGGGAGGGGGCGGGGTGGCCGGAGCCCGAAAGGATGAGAGAAAGTGGGGCAGAAGAACCAAGTACGGGCGGAATGCAGGAGGGCTGAGGCGACAAGGACGAGCAGGGCTGAGACGAAGGGGCAACCCGGGGATACCAAAGGGGCCCATGTGGCGGGGGCGGGGACGCCCGGCCCCTTTCCTCCAGGCGGCATCTCAGCTTTCCAGACGCAATAAGCTTCTCAGAACCGGCAGGGGCGCGCGGAGTCTTTACCCAGGCGGTCGCACAGCACCCGCCGCCTCCGCTCCCGCAGCTCCAGCCAGCTGAAGCGACACATGCAACCCCGCTTCGCCGGCTAGGGCCACTCCAGAACCAGTCTATCCAGTGTGCTCTCGCGAGACTATAAATATTTATCGCGAGATTCAGCTTGTACGAGGTGGATGTCGCGAGAAGCCGGAGTGAGGGGGCGGAGCGAAACTAGAAACCATGTGCCCTCCGCTTGGGGGCGGAGCCAAGCCGGCCAGAGGCGACCGGTCTGTAGAGTACCTGTGGACTGGGTGTACTTCTCCAGGTGTGCGCGCCTGCACGGGGACGCAGACTGCAAGCACAGGACACGCTCATGAGTCAGAAATGACTCCCTGTTAATAAACCGGGGGAGCGTTGGCCCAGTGTCTGGGGTACATCCTGGATCCTGACTAACCTCCAGGACAGGATGCCACGCCCATGGGGGGAGATTGCAGCTAGCTGGATGAGGTCTCACCTCAACACCACATCCTAAATTCGAGGGGTTAAAAACATCCTATCGGTCCGCCGCCTGCCTCGCAAGTACAAGGTCCCAAGTTCGATTCCTGGTACCAAAAAAAAAAAAATTTAGAATCTAAAAAAACATCCTATCGATGCTACTTACATTGTTTTCATGGCCCATAGTCTAACCACACTAACAACTATTTTCATCATCTTCGCTTTTACCTATCTTTTTTTTGGTACCGGGGATTGAACTCGTGACCTTGCGCTTGCAAGGCAGGTGCCGGAACCACTGAGCTAAATCCCCGGCCTACCTATCTTTATATGTGGTCCAAATTGGAATTAATTTATCCCATCTCAGGCCTTCGCATACGTGAATGTAAAGCATACGTGATGTATCTTAGTTTCCCTTCCATCTATTTTATTCTGGGAAAATTTCATCTGCATCCTCACCCCGAATCTGGTTGGTGAAATGGGAATGGTAACACTACAGAGTGTTCAGAGTACAAGAGCTTGGGGAATGATAAGCCAAAAAAGTGCTCTATAGATAAGACCGTTGTTCTATTTTGCTTTATCCTCCACTCCCACAACCTAATGACCTAATTCCCCTTCACCACCAGCTTCATTCCCTGGTGACTGAACCCAGAGGCTACCGCTGAGCTACATCCCACCCACGCTTCTTTAGACAGGGTCTGGACATTGCCCAGGTTGCCTTCCAACTTGGGATCTTCCTGCCTTCAGCCTTCTAATTAAATGGGATTACAGATGTTCACCATCACGCCTACTGTTGACACAGTCTTTTCCACTAGAAATTCATTCCATATGGCCTCCATCTGACCTTCTTAAATAAGGGGGGGGGCCTCTCTCATGAGAGTCTATTCTATGTTATACCAGTGAAACAAGAAAATATCTGTGCCAGCCGGGCATGATGGCGAATGCCTGTAATTCCAGCAATCTGGGAGGTTGAGGCAGGAAGATCCAGAATTCCAGCCCAGCCTAGGAAATTTATGGGCTTAGTGAGATCCTCCAAAATAAAAATACAAATAAAAGGGCTGGGGGTATAGCTCAGTTTGGAGACCCTGGATTTGATCAAAGTAAAAAAAAAAGCACACACACATAACAATGTGCCACAAAACTTGGCAGAGTCCAGATGGATCCATTTTACAAATTTGGGGAGGGAGGGTACCAGGGATCAAACTTAGGAGTTTGTGGTTGTGAGGCAGGCTCGGTGCCACTGAGCTAAATCTCCAGCTATTTTACAAATTTTACTTAAGTTCCTACTATATACCAGGCACAAAACTAGTTCTCTTTTTTTTTTTTTTTTTTTTTGAACCAGGGTCTCATTATGTAGCCCAGGCTGGCCTCAAATTCACATAGATCCTCCTGCCTCAGCCTCCTGAGTGGTGGGACTACACACATGCCCCACCACACTGGGCTAGTTCGTTGTTTTAATAAAAGAAATAAAAGTCTCTACTCTCAGTAAATTTAACAGCCTGAGATGTTAGCTGATTCAATCCTTTGGAAAACCCTGTGAAGTAGGTATTACTGTATTGTCTCTAATGTCCAGATAGTAAAATCAACGCTCAAAAGTGGAAATGAACTGAGGTCACATATGCTTAAGGTCACACAGCAGCATATTTTATTGATCTTAACTTTCACATTTTGACGTTTTTGGATCAATATTTTCTTTACATTTATTTTTTTTAAATTTTTATATTAATTTTTCTTTACATTTATTTTTAATTGATAAAAACATAAAAATTGTACACGTACATATTCGTGGGGTGCCATGGGACATTTTGATACATGTTTACACTGTGTAACGTTTAAGTCAGGGTTAGACATTATCTCATTTGTCATTACTTTATGGTGAAACATGCAAAATACTTTCTCCTGGCTTTTTGAAATTTGTTATCTACAGTCACCCCACTGCGCAATAGCACACTCGAACTTCTTACTCTTATCTAACTCTATCTTATTCATACCCACTGGTCAACCTTTCCCCACACCTCCCTTGCGACATTTCAAAATTTTGTATTATCAAGATGCGTTGCGATGGAGCCGTGGCACTGTGTTAGCGTAGTCGGAAGCATCTTCCTTAGTGCATAAAATCACGCTGCATGGAACAATCGATAGCATCTCAGATGTCACGAGGTCCAAACAGGTAACCATGTCTCATTCCTCGCCCCTTTCCATTCTTTGTCCAGAAGGGGGCGCTGTCCCCTCAGCTGCTACCCCAGGTTTCCTAGTTTCCTCTCCCAGCTAGATTCTGTCAGTGGGAGCGGCCCCACCCACCCACCCGAACTCCCTTGGGTGGCATCTCTGGCTGTAACTGGGTGTCCTCTGTTTTGTTGGGGGGCCCTCCCAGCCCCTGGGCTCCGATCTGGTCTCCCGCCCGGGGTCAGCCATGGCTCCCTGCTGTTGCTAATCTCTCACCGGATTTTTGAGTTTTTTAACAGTTCCACCCTGCCCTCTAACCAATTCCCTGAATTACATTTTTTTGGCTCTGAATAGTGAAATGGAGAGTTGGTTTTCTGGGCGTCCTATGCCTTGCATAGCTGGCCCTGAAACCCAGATTTGCGCTTCCCGTCGTGCCCCACGCCTTCCAGCCCTCAGGTACAGAAAGGAGAGATGATGTATTAATTAATTGAATCAAGGAGCACCCCTTGGTTTGTCACCAGAAAGCCACAGACTCTTTGAGAGAGCGGACTATTACAGAGGGTACAGGAATCCACTTGGGCACCAAGCATTGTCAGAAAATTGATTCTGTATCTTTCAAACATAAATATTACTATTTCCTATTGTAAGTCACAGTTTTTGTTCCAATAAAAGTCTCGGAGTTGAATCTGATTGGCCTGGCTCGGGTTAACGTCCACCCCTCAATCAATCACCGTAAGTCAAGGGTCTGTCACTGGCGCTGGACTTGGAAAGTGGTGAAAGGGTCCATAAAGGAAGAAAACCGAGGCTTTATTGGCAGAAGAGGGAGTGGTATTAAGGTATCCAAACCAGCAGCTGTCCCCTGCAGCAGCCTCATCCTAAAGATGATTAAATAAGGTCTGGGGATTTAGCTCAGTGGCACTGCGCCTGCCTTGAAAGCAAAAGGTCCTAAGTTCAATCCCCGGTACCGGGGGGGGGGGGATGATTAAATAAGCCAGCACTCTAAGCACTTTGTGTGGGTGCGAGGCGAGGAAAATGTCCTTACTAACAGAGGCCCATTTTACTTTGTGTATCCAGCTAAAAAGACTACATTTCCCAGCCACCCTTGCAACAAAAGCAGCTATGTATCAAGGTTCAGGTGGATGAAGTACAGGTCCTGAGAAGGGCGGTCTTCTGCTAGGAAACCTGAAATATTTTGAAAGGGGCAAAAAGAATGCTGGGTGTTCTGTCTAGCATTGCCTTTATTACTGTCTCTACCTCTCAATCTTTGAACTGTTTTCCAATTTTTTGGAATACCTATGGTAATGCAAATGCCTGTTGCCCATAGAAATGCAAATAGATTTCCTCTAGAAGAGCTGCAGTGGATTAAGGCTCTGTTAACATCAACTAGCTTTCCTTCTCTTTGGAAATTCATTTCAGCGTTCCTGTTTGCATATGCCTAGATGTATGTAAGTATAATTGCTTACCTGTGTGTTTAGTTTTTAAATTCTCCTTTAACTGGTTTTAAGATCTCACTGGGTTCTCTTAATAAGGAGTAAAATAAAATCTTTAACACATCAACATATTAGATGATCATATTTTCATTTTTGTTTTGTTTTTTTTTGTTTTGTTTTTGGTTTTTTTTTTTTTTTTTTTTTTTTTTTTTTTGGTGCCGGAAATTGAACTCGGGTCCTTGCGCTTGCGCAGCAGGCGGCGAAACCACTGAGCTAAATCCCCGGCCCCATATTTTTATAATTTAACACTTCCCAAATAAAAAAGTGAGACCACATTAAAAAGCCTTGCCTTTTCTCTCTTCTTTCTGACTGGACCATGAACATAAGGCAGGAGACACAGCAGCCTTCTTGCAAGCATGAGGGGCAAATCAGAATGAAAGTTAGTGTGTTCAGGATCATGGAGGAACACATAATAGCCTGTGTCTCCAACAGCACTGTGGGACCTTGGCTGGAAGAGGATTAGACTGGTTCCTTAACAAAGGAACCAGAACAGATTATGCAGAATTGCTGGGGTGGGCGAGGGCTGGTTCACCATCATCTCAGTTCTGGTTTTGCAAGGTGGCTCTGGAGAAGTCTTTATTGCTTAAGGGGGCAATTTTGTCTCCATGAGGTGACTGCTTCTGCTTGGGGTGGTCTCAGTTTTGTGGAGGCCCTGCTGGAATCCAAGGTGACATGACTGGAGACGTGGGTGCCCACTGGGAGTTGAAAGTCGCTGTCAATGTCTTATCTTGATGTCCTCCGTCTTGAAGGGGTGTGTAAATTCAGGGCTCATCAACCTTGTCCAGCCAGTTTTTAGACAGACACTCCTTAAATGCCTCTATGCATGGCTGAGATGTGACCCAAAAGCTTTAGGTAATGAAGGAGATTGACACAAAGTGAAGCTTAGCTTTGTCCTACTTTCAGTTACCCTTTGGGCTTCTGTAGGCCCGAATGAAGGTCATGTTTAATTTAGCAAAAAAAGCTCGTAAGTCTCTGATTCCTCAGAAGAAAACCCAGAGCATGCTGTTAATGCGTGATGAGT